CATATGGGACATGGCGCAGGAAATGAGCTGGTAATTAAAATTAAAAACCCTTGCAGATGCTAGAAACGAGCCTCCAGGGGCTTCGCTGTCTTCTGCACGAGCTCACCTGACCCCTCTAGTCCTTAGGTCCTTAATGAGTCATCTATTAGGGATTGTCCTAATGGATATGGGAAGGAAAGATTTAGCAGTTAAGGCCAGTAAAAAAGACAGAGGGTGATCTAAAACCAAGACTCTCATCTTGGGCCTTGGTGTAGAACAGAATGACTGATTGCGGGTACCGATATCGCCAGCCCGGCATCGAGTCCAGGGCGAATCGGGAACGAGCCGTTTGCGCAGAGCGGAGTTGCTGCAGTTTGGTTTTCGGAGGGAGAAATCAAGGCAGCTACAGGCCCCTGCGGAGGAGGAAAGGGGTTAGGATGCGCAGAGACCAAGAGACGGAGAGATCTGTTCGCCGCCCTGCGGCGTTGCCCAGTTACACAGGCTGAAACAACACCTAGCATGCCGTGGGAGCAGACCCTAACACCACAGCAGCAGGTTGGCAGACCTGATAGCACTGAAGTGTTGAGCCCTTAGTAGAGTAGTAGTAGAGGAGTTTATTGCCAGATGTACATGTGCATTGGTATTCTTATTCGTGTTGTGGAGAACAGTGAATATGTAGTGGTGGAAAAAAAACCCATGGTAGACCATGCAAAAAGTGCATAGTGCAGATGTGCATTGAGTCTGGGGCATTGCAGTTAGTTGTTAAGGATGCGAATGGCAGTAGGGTGGAAAACGTGGTGACGTCTGGCTCTCTCTGTCTCTCACTTTTGTTACAAGCCGGGTCTTCTGCTAGAGGTGGAGCTGATGTGGCGACTGGTGGAGGGTTCCAGTGTATTCGGAGGTGCCCGGGGCTGTGTGGATCCTGCCTCAGCACCGGGAGATTGTCATTGCAAGGTTCAGGCCTACAGCCGCCCCCTCCCTCACAGAGCTGACATGACGCGTGAGTCACTCGGAATCAGGCCCACGCCGTTCGAGAGAGCGCGTCCCCTCCCCCGCCCCCACGGTCAAACGCATCTCCCTTTCTGGACCCGATTGTTTGGAGAGAGGCTCGATGAGGGGTTTTCCAGGAGCAAAGGCCCGCTGGAGACTGTAAATTAACGGAGGCCTGCTGTAGATCAGGCTGAGAAACCTGTCGCGGCCTTCCCAGACTTGCCACGGTCGCTGGACGGTGTTCATTCTTTCTCGGTGACCCTGTCTCCTCCTGTCCACACCCTGGACAGTGATCTCTGCCCTGCTGTCACTCCCTGTGCGAATGGGACCCGGAATCTCTCGGCCTCGGCTTCGCTGACTTTCCCGTTTGGTCGGGGGGGACTCTCCTTCAGGAAAGCATGTCCGTATCGGACAGCGTGTGACGACAGCCAGTGGGTCAGCCAGGGCACAAACCTTCAAGAATCTGGGCTCTTGCTCAGATTGTGCTTAATAACTGTGCTCCTCAGGCTGTTGGGCCCGCAGCTCAGTTGAGTTTCCTCCCCCAGTTGCGATTTTGGCAGGTGTGGAAATTCTGGGATTAGATTTATTCTGGGGACGAATGGTCGTCCGATCCCAGATTAGCATGGAGTAAACCTGGACTTGTACGAAAGAAAAGCCCCACCTGAAGAAGCCTCTACGGCCAAAACGTTCTCTTCTCTTTTCAGCAGGAGAGAAACCTCTACGTGTTCCTTTGCAGCCTGACGCAGCTCCCTGCTTGAACTTCTGAATCCCAGAGTAGATTGGTTCTCTGTCCTATTAAATGACGCCGCTTGCATGCGACAGTGTGAACAGTTGCACCGGCGTGGCAGGGAGGGCCTGACCCAGATCGCGATCGTCCTGCGTCTAAAAGCCGGGCAGGGCAGTTTCATTTTTCACCGCCATCGGATAGTGCATTCACTTTTTGAAACGGGAGACGGAGATCCAGCCGATAAATTCGTGGCTGCCGATGCCTTACCTTTCCCAGGGACGTGTGACAAGAACAGCGGGTGGGTCTGTGAGCCACGCAAGGTGCCTACGGGTTCTGGGAGTTATCGAAGCAGCCTGGTGGTCTTCCTCCTGCAGCAGCCCTATACAGCAAAGGAAGAGCAGGATCTAATAGCAGCTGTGAATTCACTCGCGATCCATGTGCCAGGCGTTCACTAGCAGAGCGAGCGAGGCTCTGGAGAGAAGACCTCCGTTTTCCAGGGTGCATGGAGAAGGAGACGCTGGGCTCTGGGCTCTGTTCTTTGCAGTTGCCTCCTATGCAAACCGCATGATCAACAAAGTATGCGGACGGCATTTGTATGCATTTGTATCTGCTCCATTGTATTGTGGTTTTCATTGCGCTGTCCAACCAGATGCGGCCTGGCTGCTCATTGGTTCTTCTCATGATTGGGCACTAAGCTGGCAGAAGAGGTGCCTCGGTGCTGGAGACTCTGTGCCCAGTGTCGTTCTCCGCGTTTCCTTTGGTTAATCAGCGCCCCCGCCCATCACCCCTCCCAGCTCGCTCACCCGCCCTGGAGTGAAAGCTCTCCCTCCGCGGGCTCTTACCCGAGAGTGCTCGCAAGTAAGCCCCCCCCCCCAGGGATCGCTGGTGCTCCAGCCCCTTTCCGCTGGGATCCTGCTCCGTGCCAGGGCGGGGTTTCTGCTTCCTGTGGCTTTTTTTTCGGTTTTCGCCCCCTAGGGGGCGAGGGCAGCAGCTGCAGCCGCCGCCCTTCCAGAGCCTGCGGACGCCTTGGCGCGCGACTGCGACTTTCAAGGGCAGGCAGACGGCATCGCGGAGCGCTGCCACAACACCGACCTAAAAATAACCCCGCGGCCTTTATTTTGAACGGCCCTGCTTCTCTCCGGGACTTCCTGTTTCCGGTTCGCCAGCCGGATTGAATTGTGGGCAGGGCCACTGGCGCTGGTGGGCGTGCGCAGTGCCTGCTGGGAGTCCTCTCCGTGGGCTACCTCTGGCAGACAAGCTGCTCGGATACTACTTGCCCTTCTCGGGGGGGCCAGGGTGGGGGCGCTGACATGACGCCCGTGTCTTCAATCCCTGGCCCGGGGAATCCCTAGGGAATAGTCTTACTGGGGTGTACTCGACATGACGTTTTCCTTTTCTAAGGAAAAGCGCACTAATCTCCCAATCCCGACCAGATGAACAGGTGTTGTCAGGATGTGCTCCTCTCCCGTGGCGCAGGAGAGATGACAAAAGGCCTCCGCCCGCCTGCCAGTGTCCGATTACAAACCCGGATCTTTATGGCACGAATCCAGGAAGAGTTAGCACCGGGCTCCCGTCTGACTGAAGAATCGGGAATAGGGCCCCAGGGATCGGCGTGGGTGTGGTGTGTTGATCTTCGGATGAGATCCAGGCCCTTATAACGCTAAAACAACCTGGAACTGCAGTGGCAAATTGCAAATGGTTGGAATCGGAAGATTTTGTGATTTTGTTGCTTGGATTAAACATGGTTTTCTCGAGAGAGATAGGACTACAAAAATCCTTCCGCGTACCATCCTCAGCGCCGATACACGCTCCTCTCTTACTTTGGGTTTCGTGCAGCCCCTGGTCATGGGCGCGCGCCCCAGTGATAAAGGCAATAAGATACTGGGTCCGTGCTTTCCTGGCGCGGCGGAGCAGTTTGCGGTGTCCCCAGAGCACGGAAACCGTCCAGCGTTTTGCAGTCGTAAGCGATCGGCAGTGGCAGCTTGCGAGGAAAATGAGATCACAGCGGGACGGTTTCCCCGCAAAACAATGGCCACAAGAAGAAATCCTGACCACTAATTACCCTCGGAATCGTTAGCCACATTCTGGTCGAACCCCAAAATACAACATCGGAAATTCAGATATTTTGTCCTTTAATAATATAGTAAACCTAGACTTAGCATTATCGTTCCGGGTTTGGGTGCTTTTTGCTTTTGACTATATGGGACTGAAGGATAGATGGATACTGGAAATTCTTTCAGCTGCCAGTGAGAAAACGGGGCAGGAGAAAATGGAGCAGTGGATCGGGGTGGTGGAGGAGATGCACCTAATGGAAAAAGATCAACTTTTTCTCGGAGGCGAATAGGGTGAGCCAATACTGGCTAGCCTGGACTGGGTCTGCAGGCCCAGGAGGCCTGGTTTGGCTCTGTGCAAGAGGGTGAAGCTGGTCATGTGTTGCGTTTCGGCTGATGATGATATTTCTAGATGTCGCCTCCCATCCGTGCTGACGTGATCTGAACGGCTCATTATATACATTAAAAAAAACGTAATCCAAAAAATGAAAGATGGAAGGC